AGATGAAATCCAAAATCCCTCAGCCGAAGATTACATAGACCCAGACCTTGTTACAGTGCCTCATCAAAATGTTCCGCCGGTTACTTGAGGAGCAGTGAAACAAGGGTTCAGGTACCAAGGGACACGTCCTCCTCTGGAAATGCCAGCGTTTCCTGGGAGGTTCTGGAATTAGGTAGAGGGACAAAGCAGTTTTTGACTGGTGGTTACTGCCTTGGTATGGTAATGTTAGCTTTTCAGGTAGCGGTAGACACCCACATAAGAAAGGTTTGCCAGTCTTTCAGGATATTCACAACTTAATCTGTTTTGGCACTGAAAAGCTCACCCACAGTGGAATGAACACCTGGGCAAATGTTCCAAGCAGAACCCTTAAACTCTACAGCAACATTCACTGGAAAGGAAGCCATTAAAAATATGTAATTCCCATCTCCTCAGCCACGGTCGAAAGATATGACTCATAGCTGAAAAGACACAACACATTAACAATTTTTTGAAGATCTCTCTGGTACCTATCTTTATGCTTCCCAGAAGACTGATCTCAGTTCTTCCAGACATGTCCAAACAATCAAGCTCAAAACCCTCCCCATCACAAGTACCAGGGAAGGAGGTGGATGGATTATAGCTGGCTTATCTCCGTGACTTCCCAGGACTCAGTTGCTGGTGCATTCTCCAGGCTGCCTAGTTTAATCCCTACACTTCTCCCTCCTTCACTTTATGCAGGCAAGATGGACTTCAGCTCTGGCACTCTGACCCTTCCCCTCAACATCCCTTTTCAGCATATCCATGATGCTTATACTTTTGCATCAATAAATACACTGTTTCCCATTTTAGATAAACTGTAGAGCAAGATGCATCTACACTATAAGCATATATAAAAGTAATGTTAGGTGTCTGGCTGCAGCAAAATAGGGAATTCAAGGACACAAATAGCAAAATTACAGCGCTGTGAAGCTATGGGAAAGATTCTACCTCCCAAGCATAATTTATTTCATGCAGCTTCTAGGTAGACAAATGGTACTGCACAGGCTTATAACTGCTCCGTATTTTCTGAGTTCTCTTTAAACCCTGGTTCTTATACCCGTTTCTTAAATAAAAGGTGTTATTTTCCTTGCACTTTTAGGGAAATTCAACAAATTCCACAGCTGCAGAATCCAGAGCCCTGAATATAATTATTAAAAATATATTCCCCAACAATTTCTAGAGGAAGAGAAAAAAAAAAAAAAGAGCAGAAAAAGAAGTCATCCATGGCAGACAGTAGTCAGTACATATCAAACTGCTAAATATAGATCCAGCTATGTCAAACTGGTCCACTTAGTGTACTTATCTGGCCTCCATGATGTATTCAGATATTTCAGAACACTGTTTTTCATTTAAGACAGTATCTAGCCATCATGGTTACAAAAATAACCTTCTAGATGCCACGCAATACAGAGAAGCTAGACAGACTTAAGAAATACCTCAGAAAAAGTGTTAAGAGTGGCATTCACTTCTAAGGTTCAAGACGGTACTTCAAGAGGCAATTTTTCAAATCATCCAGACATACAGTTATGCATAATTTTCACCCACAGGTACCAAAGCCGTATAAGAAAGTCACGTGATACACAGACGACCAAGAAACAGTGATTGTTTTGCATTCAGCATTATTAATATGAAAGTAATTTTACTAAGAAAATGTTTAGTTACTATACAATACTTCAAAGTCTTCATACAAGTCACCCATTATTAGATGTGAACTGAGGGGCATAGCTTAACTCAACACAAATAAATGTAGTTTAGCTTTTTCTATATTTGTTTGACACCCCCATAATAAAAATATTAAAATTTAGCCCTGAATTGTTACAACTGTAGAAATGCAATACAGAAAGTCTCTGTACAAGAGGAAATTTTTCAGAAAAAGACAGTTTATCCAGCTAAAACAAGTTACACAAAATACCAAATGCTGAAAGATCTCTTGTACATGATTTATGCTGTTTTATAAACTACTCCTATTAAAAAGGTTACAAAAATAGTGCTTTTAAAAACTACAAATATTCAATTAGGAGTTTAGTCATATCTGAAGTGGGACTGCTACCCCATTCTCAAAATTCTTCAAGATAATCCTGCCTCAAAACTTCCCATCAAGCCACAGATGCTCTATTTGCCCAAGTCGGCGCACGGGGCGCTGCATGCAGCATGAGCCTCAGACCAGCACCACGTACCCCATGGTGCCACATGCTGCAAGTGGTGTGCAGGGCTAGTCTAGGGTGGTTTTGGGGCCTAATCCAAACTGGCAGGCAGCACTTGCCAGTCCAGTTCTGCACACTGGGCCAGGGCTGATGCATGCATACAGTAAATACGGCTGCTCCGAGATCCACAGGCATTGCTGCAAGCCAGATGATAGGGCTCTGTGGGCCAGATCTGACACCACTGCTTTGCTTTTAAAATGTAATGTTTGTCCTAAACCAGGTTATACATGTGTAACAGTAGAACTGTTCACATTAAAAAAAACAAACAGCTAAAAGATATTTTCTATTCTTAAGTCAGCTGTATTCTTTTATCTTAATTTTAAGAAATCCTAAATCGTAAAAATATATCTTTTCTAAATTAGTCTCTTCTGCTGGTCACTGCAGTATAATTCCAAAATCATAAAGTACAAGTTTGCTCTTAAAAAGGCAGAGACCCCTGTTTCCAGGTATAAGCGTGTTATTTAAAAAAAAAAAAAAAGTCTCACCAACATGCTGCTCGTCAGTATACTGCATTCCAGCAGAAGCTTGCCGTCAGAAGGCAACTTAAAATACTACCAAAATTAGATTTTTTTTTAAATTACAAGAAATAACATAGAATCTAAAGCCTTAAGTCATATTTATTTATAGCCAAAATAACCTCAAATGTAACAGGATTTCTTCTTCACCTCCATTTCTCCCCCCCCCCCCCCGTGTGTGGAGCAAGATACGGTACAAGTTTAACAGTTCTGGGCATAGCCTGTACCCCCTCCACACATGCTGCACAAATGTATAGCTCATTTGCGATACCTTCAGTGAACAGGCATCATTAGGCTTTACTCACTGGACCGCACAATAGTAGTTACTAAACTGCACTATACGTGTCCTCCACTATAACAACATCATAAACAGAGATTCTGTTCTTACAAAGAATACCAAAAATGGGAGAAAAGTTTTCTGTCAAGTTGTGCACCTCCTGTATCACAGTGAATTACTGTAATGAACAAGAGATAGCACTAATGAGGAGGAGTCCCCTCCACCCTCCGCCATACTGACTGGGGGAAAAACCTCATCTTATATTTGGGTAAATACAGCAAGTGTTAAAATGCAAGCCATATAAGGGAAAGTTGAGCAAAGAGACTATGTTTAGTTTGGAAAAAAAGATTACAGGGAACACAACAGCAGTTTTCAAATATTTGAGGCTGCTGTAAGGAAGAGAAAAAGAGCAACTCTTTCTTCCTTGCCACATTGGGTAAGACATGAAACAATGGTCTTAAACTGCAAGAAAACAGATGAAGATCAAGTCCAATGAAAAACTAACTAACTGTAAGAACCTCAGGGCAATGCAATAAGCTGCCCCGCAAAGTTGTGGAATCTCCTTCATTGAAGGTTTTCAAGAGTAACTTGGATAGGAGTGGACACGGACAGTTTATGAATACCGACTGCAGGTTTCCTTCCAACCCTAACATTCTGTGATTTTATCAACAGTGTCTGTTTTCACGGGTAGATGAACAGGTAACTAGTAATCAATCAAACTGAACCTGTGGAGCACCTGGCTGATTGAATAATGAACCTAAAACAACAGTTGGAAAGGTGTTAATTGTGTAATTCAGCAAAGCAGACAACAAAATTGACACCAACACCACCTGATACTGTCAATATTGTACTACTCAAAGGCCTATCATGAAGAACTATGAAGGACTACACAATTTCAGGGTTCTCAACTCTTGTGATTTTATCATGGGTTTCACAATATTTGGTGGTTTTCTTAATGCCCCAGCTTCAGGATTTACTTGATTACATAAGAATCTCAGCCTTCATTCAAGAAAGATGTTTGCGATTAAAGAAAAACTGGGAAATATAAATCATTAGGACTTAAACTGGAAGACAAATCAAAGAAATCAAAACATTATTTAATGCAAGTAGCTCTGTTCTTGGAGCCCAATTCACAATTTGAATGTCTGGGTAGTAATACTGAAATCAACTTTGAATGGATTGCTCATTTTAGGTAATGACAAATAGTAAGCTTGAAGGGGGACCGAAGTACAGTGAGAAGTAGACGGAGCCAATTAATTCCATTTTCCTGAAAGGAGTTTTAGCCTTCAGAAGACTGCATGAAATAGCAACATTCAACAGCCTCTGACCTGAGGAACAAAAAAAGTATTTCTTTATTGTTGCAAGTATTTAGCAAAGCCTGACAAAAGAGAAGGAGCTTAATGTTTGCTATACTCCCATGTCTAACTTTGTGAAAGACCACAGTGAGGTCAAAACACTCCAGGAGATTTTGGCCACGTATCCTAACTACTACTGATGTTTTCGTCTCCCTCCACATTTAAGAGAAAGTTGTTAAATACAAAGTATGTTTTACTGAAGGCATCAGACCTTTGAATAAGCTTGAGCAATTCTGAAGATATATGAACATTTCTGTCACAGTATGTGACCCAGCAAACTAGCAGCATATTAAAAAAAAAAAATGTATGGACAGATCACACTGCAAAGTAGGAATGGAGGTCTCAGACTTTATCCCTTTATTTTCAGGTCCCTGAAAGTCAAAAAACCTATTTGATTTTATTCTTGGGTATTCTGTATTCAACTAAATGAAAGCTCCAACTGAATTTGCATGACTACCTTTTTAGACAATTCAAGACAGATATCACAGGCAATAAACCTATACCCCTTAAGATCAAAGAACAGTCTCACACACTTCAGACTACCATAACATTGCAGTTAATCTTTGCAAAAGGAGGCTACAAAATAATACTTGATTTTAGAGCAAGTAAAATTAGAACAACAGAATCCCACCTTCTTTTTAATTATTTTGTCCATTTTCTTACTTTCAGACTTCAGTCCAATCTTTTCTGGTAGCCAAGGTTTCTCTTTTGACTTGTTTATGATACTTCGAAGAAACATCCTTAATATATTCTTCATGTGGAAAGCAGTTAGTAAGTAAATACAAGAAAAAATAATAGGTGATAGAAATCTAAAATCTAAAACAGTTCCTGTGCAAGGGCTACAGTGAGAATCTACTTAAATGGATAGACCTTTGCTGCACGGGCGTATGAATGCAAGCAGTAATGACGAGCAGCGATAAGACATTCTACTGAAATAAGACAGGCCACAGTTGTGACAGGAACGAGATATGGTGGATCAGGTTTCACCTAATTAGGCAACCTTGCACCAAGGGAGTTCTGCTGTCCTACCGCTGTGCAACACTAACTCTTTGCTTGGGGTTATAATGAAAGGACAGCAAGGATTAAATATTTACCTTAAATCATTTACACATAAAGTTCTTCATGGCCCTACTATCAACACTTAAAGGGTTCTTCTTAAAAAGGGACACTTGCAAGGTTAACAATGGCAACAGTTCCCCCCCAATATTATTATAGATTGTTGTATATATTTGATAAATTAAGAAGCCAGTTCAGAATGAAGGACTAGTGGTTTTTGTTTTGAGACAAAAAAAAAAAAAAAAATCCCACGTAAATTTATTTTCAAAAATGTAGTATTTCAAACTCTGTTCCCGCCTTCTGTCAGATATGGGTCAAGCAGCCACAGTAAAATGATTGAAAAGCTCCATTTATTGCTTATTCTGCACCACAGACGTAGGTAAGTAATCACCTCCCCTGTCTCACTTCAGTAGGACCTCAAACCTCACACACAGGATCCAGCATGGGGCTGAATAAAAGTGACTCCTCTACCATGCATGCAGCTTCTACTCCAAGAGCCACACTGCAGTCTCCAGCCTCGTCCCTTCCCTTCGTTCCCACTCTCCAAGAACCCAGTTTTAAGCAGAAAATAAGGGGTTGTAAACAAGCATCCTCACAAGTTAGAACAGGAACCACTAGTATATCTTAAACCCGCTGGCCCACTGCCAAAATTCACAGAATCATAGAAAATAAGGGTTGGAAGGGACCTCAGGAAGTCATTTAGTCCAACCCCTACTCAAAGCAGGATCAGCCCCAAATAGATCATCTCAGTCAAGGCTTTGTTGAGCCAGGTCTTAAAACCCTCTAAGGATGGAGTTTCCACCACTTCACTGGGTAACCTGTTCCAGTGTTTTACTACCCTCACAGTAACAAAATTCTTCCCAATATCTAACCTAAACTTCCCTTGCTGCAACTTGAAACCATTGCTCCTTGTTCCGTCATCTGCCACCACCGAGAACAGTCCACCTGTATCCTCTTTGAACCCCACTTCGGTAGTTGAAGGCTGCTATTAAATCCCCTCCTCAGTCTTCTCTTCCCCAGCCTAAATAAGCCTAGTTCCCTCAGAAGTCATGTCCCCCAGTCCCTAAACCATTTTTGTTGCCCTCTGCTGGACTCTCTCCAATTTGTCCACATCCTTTCTGTAGTGGGGCCCAAAACTGAACACAGTACTCCAGATGTGGCCTCACCAGTGCTGGATAGAGGGGAATAATCACTTTCCTTGACCTACTGGCAACACACCTACCAATGCAGCCCAGTATGCCGTTAGCTGTCTTGTCAACAAGGGCACACTGCTAGCTCATATTCAGTTTAATGTCCACTGTAACCCCCAGGTCCATTTCTGCAGAGCTGCTGCCCAGCCAGTCAGCCCCCAGCCTGTACTGGTGCATGGGATTGTTGTCCTAAATGCAGGACTTTGCACTTGTCCTTGTTGAACCTCAGGAGATAAGAAAAAAAAAAAAAAAAAGGGACTGAACTTCTGGCAGGGAAGCAAAAAATGACAGCTTCCCTTCTGAGCATAAACATTATTTTGTCAGCCCCTTTTCACAGTGTAGGGGAAAATTGTATCCAGCCCATACAAATATGCAGAAGTTGTACTGTGGCTGCCATTAACGGTTTGCATTGGGAAAATAAGGGATTATCTGAGCCCTGCAATCTTCTGCTCTCTTCATGAAAACCTGCTGTCATGATTTACATCTGTTACACGAATTAGTAGGATCATTCATCACAGACTGACGGTTACTTCAGCAGAACAATTTAAGTTACTAGCAAATAGGAATAGTTTATAGAACCAAAATACTACTTTTCTGAGACAGAGAGGGACTGAGAAATCTATCTAAACCTTCAACACAGGCATAATCAGATGATTACATTTAGGCTGCTTGCAGGTGTGAAAAACAAAACAAAAACGGGGGAAAAAAGCACTTTACTTTGACTCGGCTCAGCCACACCTGTATAGACCAGGTGCTTCAACAGGGCTTTTTGGCACTTTTAGCTAAAGCTGATTCAATCAGCTATTAGATCAAAGTGCCATAAAAGACATGCTAACTGCCCAATCTATGCAGATGGGTGAACTGGATCCAATTAAGGTGCTGCCTCTTCTGGGCATGTGTGGGGCTCGGTGCAGGAACGTGTTGAGTTTAAAGTAAAGCATCTTTTTGTTCTGTTTTTTAAACATCTGCAAGCACCCTTCATTGCCAGTACAGAAGACTATAGCATATGAAAGGCTGAAGTGGCAGTTGAAAAGAAGAAAGTGGGTTTAAATTAACAGATTACACACAGTGCTATCCCACCATAGGCATTTCAAAGACTAACATTAACACAAATACTAACACTAGACTGAGAAGGCCTAATTCTAACTCTGTTCACAGTATCGTTTTAAATAAACCTATAACACATTAAATCCCCATACAGCATCCCCAAAATAAAAAAAAAAAATTAAAAAAAAGTGTTATTCTGCCTCCTGATTTACAAGTGCATCATTGCTCCTCTCTCTCTCTAATCTGATCTATTGTTGCATGACCTCCAAATCAGATTTCCTGACCCAAACATTTGCCTGTAAGGACTACTGTACCAATATGTATTAACTAGTTAGGAGCAACATTACACATCCAACAGAGGGTGAAAAAGGTAAAAACAACCCCATGGCTAGCTAATAGGCTGGAATCCTCAATAAAAATCACAAATTAGAGAAATATTAGGATGCAGTAAGCAGGGTAGATTGATTTAAATCAAGGTAATTTAAATAATTCATTTAAATCATGATTTAAAATCACCAAGAGGAAACCCTGATTTAAATAATTGATTTAAATCAAGTTTCCCATGGATACTTCTTCACATATTTCTTAAACAATGGCACAAATCTGATCACTAAAACATGTTAATTTACAACACAGTACAGCATTTTACAACATCTGTCCTTAAACTCTTTTTTTTAATTTTCAAATTTGATTAGCTCTAACAGATAAGTCATCACAACACTAAACGTACGCTGTCCTTAAAACTTCTACAACTAGATCTGATCTTCCCCACTCCCACTGTCATTTTTATTTTTAGATGGAAACAGAAATACAAGTTTTCCTGCTTTTTCAACTCCCAGTCAATTTCTTTGAATGAATAATACCAAATGATACCAACCCATGTTTGATTGGTAGGTAACTCAAAGTGTGTGTGTGACAGAGCCATTAACTGATTTTTATGAGACTGTAAATGTAGGTTTAGCATGTTTGTGATGAGATTTAATTGTAATTGTTATTTTATAAATGAGAGAGAAATTTAGTATTTTATTGATGATCTTTTAAAAAAAATTAAAAATCTGATTTAAATTAAAAAAATAATTGATTTTTTTAATTTTGTTTTTTTATCTACCCTGGTGGCAATTCGTTGTACATATTGGTAAACACAGGCTCTGAACTTTTTGAATAGGGAGAAGGGTTCATGTAACCTTTTGTAGCGATAGGTCTGGGGATTTGGTTGCACATTAGATATACTTTCAATTTTATATATATTTCTGTGAAATCCAGGAAGCTCGTGAGGTTCACTGCCATAGCTGAGTCCTGTGAAATATAAAGCTCTTACTAAGCTAAACTAGTGGGATTCATATCTCCAAGGACAGAATATTCTCTGCATGCTCTACAATCCAATTTACGTAAATTACTCAGCAAGAGGGAAGAACACGGCCCTTATTCTGCAAATGGATTATAACAAGCAGACCCCAGTAACCTCATGGAATTCAGGGTAAAAAGAATGGGAGAAAAGGAGAAAGAAGATTCAAATGAAACAGTGGTTAAAAAAGCAGAACATCAGTTTAAAGATTTATTTAAAATTATCTTTTGAAATTAACAGCTATGGATTTAAAATAGTTAAACAATTATGAAGAACACAAAGAGAGGCAATATGCAATGATAATTTTAAGTTTTCTTCCAAAATAGTGGCAGTTCCACACCAATGAAGCCTGCACGGGAGCAGCACACTAACTCGGGTCATTTAAAGCCTGTTTCATTTCACTGCCTTGCCTCAGATGACTGTTTTCATCTCTTTCATTATATCATATTTCATATCCTGCAAATGCTTAATATATGAACATGAAATTTACTCATGTGAGCATGCACATAACTTTGCTGAAGCACTTTAAGGATTAAGGCCTTTGACTCTTAGTTCTTTGAAGCTGGGGTTATATCCTATTTTTCTGCATGGCATTTGGCATACCCTGGCTACTCTGGAAACAGCACGTGTAGAGGGAAGGCTGTGAGGCTAGAGGCAGCAACATCCAGCCAGGGTACTCTCTCAGGTTCTGGGAAAAGACCACAGGGTCTGGTTAACTCTGTTATTTTGTACCTGCTGTTTGATCATTTATGGTTTATATTGTGCCCTGTGGGGCAAGCTTGCAGAGGTAAAATAAAAACTGTACTATGCAAACTGACAACCTGCTACATTAAGTCACTTAAAACATTTTCCATTTTAGTTACTGATGTTAAGATAAACTGGATCTGTTGACACTACAAGTTAAAAAGGTGTCAAATATACAAGATAAGGGAGAATGATTTTTGAAAAATAGTAAGTTATCAATAATGTTTATATCACTGCTTAGTCCATTTTTCTTCAAGAATTTAAACTGTTAAATTAATATAGGGAGCAGCCCATTCTATTTTCTTTTTTTATTTCTGTCAACCATATTTCTGTAATTGAAACTTAGTGTTGTATCTGTACTGATGCAACACTTTACTGGCTGGAGTTGTAAGAATTAAATAAAAGGAACATTAAATAAAAGTTTTTTTGGAGAGTGTTGGGGATGACTTCTTGGTGCAAGAGCTGGAGTGGCCAACTAGGGGCCGTGCTCTTCTTGACCTGCTGCTCACAAACGGGTGAATTGGTGG